GGGAGGACTCAGAGAAAAACGGCTTGGGCGTGGCTCCACGGAGTTGTTTTGGGGTTCAGGGTGGCTGCTTCCTCTCCTCTCTCTCTGAAGGTAGCGCTCCTCCCCCCCCTCACCTACACTCATCCCGTTTCTCTTCGGACTCAAATATTCAACACCTTTCAGATAATGTGAAATAAACTTTTTTTAACCTGTGATGAACATTGAAGGAGGCATTTATCAGTTCTAAATGTGAAGTTTTTTAAAACAGGGCTAAAAACAGGAGCTGATTTTTTGTCATTCCTGTAAGCGTCTAAATCAAATCAACTGCTCAGGGGGCCACACTTAAGGCACCAGTAAACTCACGCTGACCTTTTTCCACGCGAACTCGATGTGCACTGTCCGCAGAGGGTTGAGACTTCATACTCGAGCGTCCACCTTGAGTGGTTGCAGACCAGCTCCGCAGGCAAGTGGTGTTTACCTTCGGGACAAATTGAGTTCGCTGATTGGTCATTTGCTGACACGCCTAATGGATTGATTGACAGGTCGCAAACAAAAAAAAAACAAGAGCTGGCAGCCTCAGCGGCAGCGGTGTTCTGTGTTTATATGTTGTTAATAAAAAGTTCTAAAAAATTAAAACAAATGGGAGCACTGGCCCTGCAGCCCACACATCAGACCAGCCCAACAGGAAATCTCCAGACCCTCCCGCAGCCACGCTGGACCTGATTTTAATTCACTCGTGACAAATTCCTTCGTTTCTCACCTTTTCAGTCATGGCGTCAACGGAGTAGGAGGAAGAGATCGATTGCCTCTTGGAGAATAAAACGGAAGAAAAGGCCAGATCAGGGATGAAGAAGGGGAATTTAATACATTGGTGTCGCATACAAAACAGTCTGTCACCAGGCACTTGATTGTGCGACACCGAGTACGCGTACACGGTCGTAAAAGTTGAGATTTGCACGAACATGCCCTGCGGGCGTCCGCTTCGACTCCTCCATGGACTAACGTACGTCCGACTATACTGGAACCTTTACTGAAAGCCAAGAACTCAGGGGCTGGGCATCCAGCAGTTATTGTCATTAAGTAATTTACTTTATGGTTTAAAATCTAGCTTTTGTCACAAGCTGTTGGGGCCCCAGGTCTTAGCTAGGACCCCAGGTCCACCTCCAGCTCACGAGGCTCCCAGCTCGCACTCCATCAGAAGTAGTAACTCACGCTATCTCAATAAATCAAACGTGAATTTAGTTTACCAATTGTGTTAAAGGAAGGCAGGAAAAGATTACGGTTTACAGCGCTGGACTCTCCGATACAATTCGACGCTCACTCAAGGACCGGATGCGCGCCCGACATGTTGCCTTACAAATATATTGGGCCTAGGCTCCGCCTTCTTCCGAGAGCGCAGCCTATCAAGTGGATAGAAGGGGCGGACTAAGTGTGACCTCATTGGGTCTTATGTGAGCTGACGTGTCAGGAAAAATAATACATTGTACAAAAGCCTTTCTGCGTGGTGTAGCGAGCCAATATAGAAATGACAAACAAATAAAAATCTATTCCTTGATGGATATTGCATCCCTGGGAGACTTTTTTTTTTTTTTTTAGAGTTGCTGGCCCTGCTTAAACCGGTCAGAACATAAACTTCTTACAAGTCGGCTCTGAGCAGGTCAAAACTCAAGGTCACAGTCTAGATAAAATATTTCTAACACTTCATGAACCCACCGGCGGGCCGAACCGAGTTCATCCGCGGGCCTGATCTGCCCCCCTGAGCCGCCACTTGAATATCACTGTTCTAAATACCAGCTGATTATCTTTTTCCAAGGACAATACTATATACTTTTTAGCACTTTTTTAAAGAATATCACAGCTGAGTTAACAATAACAAGACAAAGCAAATACCATATGTTGTTTATAAAAGTTTTCACACATTAAAATTCATAGGAAAACACCTTTTTTTTTAAGAACCTATAGCTTTGCTTGGCGAAAATCAGTATTAAGAGTCATAAACGTTGACCTGTCAGTAACCCCAGCTCAGGCCTCAGGTAAAAATGTATCACAGGTTGAAAAAAAACAAAAGAGCTAAAATAAGATTTCACACTGTGTAACTTTTAGAGGTGTATTTTAGTCGTTACCGCTCCTTCCTTCCTTCTGGCCATCTGTGTCTGTGTTCCAGTGGGTGCCGTTTGTCTTGGTTTCTTCAGAGAAAGTGGGGTTGTTGGTGTGCACGTGTGTTTTTCCTCACTGGTGTTTTTCATGTGCATGTTACGTGTGTCGAGACGAGCGGTCAGTGTGTGGGAGAACCCGTTGTAGATGTGTTTAAAGTGCAGATTTGAGCCCTGTGATGTGCGAAGGAACAAATGCTGTGCATATTGTGCTGCTGCACGCGTGAGCGGGAACTATTTAGAGATTCGCTCCAACAGACAAGTTTATAACTGATTTTCTTTTATTTCTTGTGAAAGTGTAGCCGAGTGTTGTTGTTTTTCTCTGTTTTTGTGTGTTTGCTTGTTTTGACCTTGGTCAAAGTTGCACTTTTCAGCTGCTGCAGAAGAAAAGAGTGTTTTGTTTTTTTTAAAGCTCTTGGAGTGTTAAGTTAAAAAGTTCTGGCCACACTAAAAGCAAAGTGAGTTGCCTCCACACGGCTCAGCTCTCTAACCTTTCTGCTTTTCTCCCCTCTTCCATCTACATTCGCCTTCCATTTCCCTGCCTCACCTTTCTCCCCCATCACGCACGCACATACGAACACATCTCCACCCGTGTGCACCCCCTCTTGTCCTCCGTCTCTGTGTCGAAGCAGCTCAAAGTCCCACTGCAGCCGACCCTCTCCAGCAGGCGTACACAGGAGTCCAGCAGTACGCAGGTCTGTCTGTGTGTTTCTGCTTATATGCATGGACAGGAGTTTGTCTCTCACGCAAAGAAAAGAAGGGGTGGGGGATGACAGGAGAGGAAGAGGAGGATAAAGATAAGCGAGCTTTTGTTCAAATTAGAATTTCGATGGTGTAAGATCCGGCCTTGCTGTCGAGCTGCATCAGTTTATTCTCTCGGCTGCGTTCGGTGTGTTTGTGCAACACGTCGACTCTATTGTCTGTTATCTGATCGATCGGCTGCCGTGCTCCTGCATATATCACATTGTTTGGATGTATCCAAGTGTGTGCTGTAGTCATGACTGTTATCTGATCTGAGGTGCGCGTGTGTTTGTGTGTGTGTGTCTCAGCAGCCTATCCCGCTGCATACGGTCATATCAGCCAAGCCTTCCCCCACCCTCCACCCATCATTCCTCAGCAGCAACGAGAAGGTAACACCAGCCACACACGGCCACACAAATACTTAATTGTGTTTTTAATTGCTGGTGTTGTTCTGGGATAAACACCATGTAAATAAGGCACTTCATGTTTCTTGTAATTCTGAGAAGTTTAAGTATCTCATTGTAGCTGATTGACACTTCTGTCAAATCTTGTTAAAGGCTGATGGATTTGAAAGCTTGATTTTGACTCAAAGAAAGAAAAAAGCTTAATTCTAACTTGGCTGTAAACAAGCAGGTGAACTTGATGACCCCCCCTTGAGGCTCAGGACACTCATGTTTGGGACATCACTGCCCTCTTGTGGGACAAAATAAAACTAACCCCAATCAATCTGCAGCTACAAACGCCTCATCTTCCAAGCCATCGGCAGAAAAAAGTAAAGTTACACCATAACATATAAACTGTATGTCTGTTGTCTGCAAACAGAGAACAGCTGCTCCATAGTTTTCTTGAATTAAATGTGAAAATGTGGCTCATTAAAAAAAAAGTGGTTGAGGAACACAACAGAAGCAGCATCATCAAAGTCCACGCTCAACAATCCAGGTAAAGAAATCCAACAATGTTCAGTCAGGTCATCTGGACAGTTTCTTTTTTTTGTTGAGAGATGTTTCGCCCTCCATCCGAAGGGCTTCAACAATCTGAGAAGTCACAAACAAACTGTTCTACCCACCAAGCAGTACACTCCTACAGTGGACCAACCAGTTTGCTGGTGATAAGATGGTTTCTGTCGACTCCTCCCAGGCAGCCACAGCATCACTTTTCACTTACACCTGCAGTCAGGTCATCTGGACGGTTTCTTTTTTGTGCTGAGACGTTTCATCCGTCATCCAAAGGACTTCTTCAGTCTGAGGAACTACCAAACAAAACTGACTCTCCACCACCACCATACTCCAAAGTAAAAAAAAAAAAACAGTTATGTTGGTGCTAAGATGGCACGCCCTCTCCTCTGGTGCCGGCCCTCTCCCTTGTCGACAGTCGTGTCAAACTGGTTCAAAACACCAAAGTCCATGCTCAATAATCCTGGTATAAAATCCAACAATGTTCAGTCAAGTCATCTGGATGGTTTCTTTCTTGTGCTGAGACATTTCGTCCGTCATCCAAAGGACTTCTTCAGTCTGAGGAGCCACCAAACAAAACTGATTCTCTCTATGAAAGGATTCTTATGCCGACACATTTAGACTTTCAAGTCTTGTTTGTTTTGATCGTCAAAGGAGTCAAAATTTATAGGAGAGGATGTGATCGTGCAATGAATGTGACAGTTTCTTTAGAATAAATGATCAACCGAGGGAAATTTACTGTTAGACGAGACAAAAAACAGGTGGCTTTATTAATGCTGGGGAGCTCAGATTGCATGAAAATTAACTATTATTTATCACTGTTGATCGCTTGTTCAAACACTCAGCTGATCAATCAGGTGCAGTTTGATTAAATCAAGTTTGCACAAAAATGCAAATTGTTTTAGACTTGGATGAATTTTTTGTTTTTCATTCAGGTCCTGTGAGAGTTTCTGACTTTCCCCTAAACAGTTAATGTTTTTACAATCAGTTCACAACGAGGAGAATCAATTCGATTAAATATATTGCTGTCCGTCTTTGTTGCCACCTTTTTAGTATCCTTATATAAGAAATTATCAACATAATTTTCTACTTGTTAATATTTTTAGTCACAATTTTAATACATAAGTGTTTCTTTACGTTTGTCTTTTTCTTTGACCTTTGACCTTCAGGGGTCCCTGTTGTTTTGTTTCTCTGTTCCCGTGCAGGACCTGAAGGCTGCAATCTGTTCATCTACCACCTTCCTCAGGAGTTTGGGGATGGAGAGCTCATGCAGATGTTCCTGCCTTTTGGTAATGTCATCTCCTCCAAAGTGTTTGTGGACCGGGCGACAAACCAAAGTAAATGCTTTGGTGGGTAAAAATGAACAAAAACAAAAGATTATTGGTTATTTCTTATTATTATTCTTCTTCACTTTCTATACCACACCCCTCTCGACACTTTGCTTTTATGTTTAAAACTAAATATAAGAGAAATTCTTGAGCTGATACTTAAAAACGGATAGAGCACCAACTTTTCCATTATTGAATACACCTGTTTTACTTTAAACCCTAAATTTAAGTGTTAATGTTCTGTATATATTGGCTTTTTTTAATCATCAAATTCCCATTTTATTGTTCTTTGGGACTAAATGGAAATGACGACTATGAGGTTCAATCCTGTAACTTACGTGCACAAATACGGACATGCTGCCACACTTTGTTACCTCGGCGTTGTCAGTCTTATAATTAGACGGTAAATCTTAAATGGATGCTGAAGAATATTTAATGGCAACTACATCACTTGCAAATTAGCTTTGACTCAATAACACAAGGCATCGTGAATGTGTTGAGTTGCAGGATTTCACTTCTGATTTGATGCCTTTATGTTCAGTTGGAAGTTACAGGCTGAACATATATATTTTGGTTTTATTTTGCATGTTTCTGTATGATACAAGCTTGAAGTGTAATCGTGATCCTGCTGTTGCTTACATTACATTCACTGGTTCATAAAACACATTAAGCGCATAGACAAGGTAGTAAGTTAAAATATACTGCGCACTGTCATGTGAATATATTTCAACGGTTACAATATCAGACCAGAAGAATAGCAGCAGTAATGGTGCACTGCTGGTCCTATGTCAGCTGGGCCCCCCATTGGGTCTGGGTACAAACAGATGTGGAGCTGAACGTGGTCATGTGACACTTGTATCGTTTGCTGCGTCGTCAGCCCACAGCTGTTTTAAGTGGTCGACTGGCAGATCGGCAGAGTTGACATCTAATCTCGATCGGAGGACCTAGCTGACCACGGGCTGACCTCAACATGCTGCAGACAGTCCATAAACACGCCTGCTGTATGTACACAGCATTGTTTAGTTGAAAGAAGGTACAAAGGTGCTGTCTTGGAGGGGGAAAACCTGCATATGAAGCAGTTTTGTCAGGGTCCTTTGACTCACCACCAGACGTGACATGAAGTCCTATCTGGTGGCTCGCTACTCCATGATGCCAAGAATAACTCCAGTATGTCCCTCCACAACGATTCTCTACTTTTGGCACCACGATACACTCACGCACGTAGTCTAAAATGAATAAATGGAGCAAAATGCAGCAATCCTTATCAGTCTGTTGTTCAGGCACTGTGCAGTGACAAAAAGGCGTCATCCCACACCAAAGTCTGCAACCAGACAACAGGTGCAGATGTTATTCTGTAATTCTTGGCACGTAATCCAGTGATCGTCTGTTTACGCAGTCCGTCAGTCATCACTGCATGTGGACCAAATCAAACCATTTCTTCAAGGTGCTTAACTTCTGTGTGAGTGGGTTTGTTTTAAACTGCTTTATTAGTCTCGTGCCTCCTCGTCGTACCGGTAAATACCAAATGTTAGGTTAAATGAACAACATGAAACGCGTTTCGTTCAAACTCAGAATATACATGATTGTTGAGCGCTTCCCTAATCCTCATTCCCTCCTCGCCTCAAATCGTTCTTGGCTTTTTAATCTAACAACATCCTGTTTCTCTCTCCCTTGACCTTTCCCTCAGGGTTTGTTAGCTTCGACAACCCAGGTAGCGCCCAAGCTGCCATCCAATCCATGAACGGCTTCCAGATCGGCATGAAAAGACTGAAGGTTCAGCTCAAAAGGCCAAAGGACGCCAACCGCCCCTACTAGCCACCGCCCTGGACAGCCACTGCCACTGTGGCGGGCAGGGCAGCCATCGTGCACAGAGGAAGACAGGTCAGGAGTCGAGCTCAGCTGGTCTGAAAAGACTTTGTGTCACTTTTGTTTGATAGTCCATTAACTGAACCAAATCACAGCCATGCTCCACCGGCAAGCCGTTTATGGCACAGCTTGATGTGTTTTCCATAACCTTTTATTCATGCCATAAAACACTTTGAGGCGCCTGATCATCTGTAAAATGCTTATAAAGATTAGTGAAGTCTTACTCCTGTGCAGGCAGTTTATGAATACATTTAATAACATTGCGTCATGAATATACCAGACTATACAAGAATGTAGCATCGTGCTAATTCACACAGCGAGGAATAGAAAAGGGAAGCATTTAAGAAGTGCTACACAAACTGCTGATTTGGAAATCTGAAAACGTGTTGCTGCGATTTAGAAATCAGTCCCCCAAAAATGTGTCAAATATTAAAATAGGGTCATCGTTCTCTTTTTTTTTTTTTTATGCCAAACAAACAAAGCTGTTGAGGCATTTCCTCATACGCAGCCTCCTCCTCTGTTTGCAGAACATCTTTACAGTGAGTGACCCTGCATGTTCCCCTGTAGGTAAAAGATAATTGGTAAATGGTTCTGTGTGTTGCACATCTTCCAAGGGGGAGGCATTTATTACCCCTCGGGCGGGTAATTGTGCCGTTCCTCTTTGTCTCCTCCCTTCATCTGTGTGATGGAGAGTTTAGGCGGCGGCGTTCATTCACCGCTGATGACTTAATTCAAGGGCAACTTATCACCCACTCACAAAGCAGCCGAGCAGTACCACAGTGTCCCGCAGCAAATCACTGCAGGCAAAATACTGCACTCCCACAGGTATTTGTCAGAAACTATAAGTGACAGCAGATTTTTTTTTTTTATTATATTTAAATATTTCCTGAAAGTGTTGCTAAGTGTATTGTTTTAAACATCGCTTTTTACACTTTTCTCACAATGTGAAGAATGTGGCTGGAGTACCCCCAAAAAAAGTTGGGGCTTTGTTGGCTGTAATCCTCTGATCACGTGAAAAGCTAAAATAAATACTTTGATTTGAAGAAAAAACAAAAACTAATTGTTTTGTCACACAGATTATGACTCGGTGCCAAGCAGCAGATTAATTCGCTGCAGAACGAGCGCCCGTCTGTCGTCAAAATCGTCTCAGAAAATACATTTGTCTGCTTCCACACACCGAGTCGGAGTTCTGCCTAGAAGGCTCGAACGAGACGAGTGGATTCTCTGTCGTCATACAGCTGCAAATGAGCAGTTCTGAGCAGTCGTCCTTAATCCGAACAACAAAAAACAAATCAGGAAGTTCTGTTGAAATCCCCACTCAAAGGATTGTTTTTGAAATGCCTCGTGTCGATTTGTGAACTTTAGAGCACCATCACTTCGCAGTCATCCGTTTAGTTAAATCAGATTCACATCACCTGGTCTTTCCTGGTGGACTGTGAACAATTAATAGCCTTATTGATTAAATATATTAGAGAAAAGCAATAGTTCAGGTTCTCTGGAAAAGATTTGAAACAAAAACTGTCTTACCTGTTGCAGATAGCTCTTAGAATGACGTCATTTTGAAGAAATCAGATTTAATCCTGACCAGATTCGAGCGGAAGGCTGATCCAAATAAGGCCCTATATGAACTGCTGTTGTATTAAAATAACTCTGGTCACAACGAGACTCACCAAAATGCTCTTTTATAAACTTTTACACCATCAAAACTTTCATATGCAGTTATTCACAAATAATTTTAAGGTTATTTAAGCATAAAAAAAGCAGCGAGCTGTAGCACTTCCAAGTGAAGCATGGGGTACTTCCTGTAGGATTATCATAATGTTTCTACTTAAATAACTGGGTAGTGTGAAACTGACAAACGTGTGAAGATTTAATAAAATAGTGTTCATATGCACCGCTAAGAATTTTTTAAAGACTGGGTGTGTTTTAAAATAGCAGAAATAGACTTTGGTCGTGGCCCCACATTGACTTGTCACTAGCTCATAAATCAGATTAAAAATATTTGATTTCTTCAAACTGAGGTTGTCCAAAGAGCCATCTACAACAGGTAAGATAATAACTGTTCATACCCTTTGCACAGAACTTCACATCAAAAGAGCTGAACTTTTTCTTTAACGTGATGAAACATTAGGCAGTTTCGTGAAGTTTTGCTGACTAAGTTCTCATTTTTCCTGTGCTTTTCAGGATTTCTTGAGCTGAGCGCGTTGATCACTTGCCACCCACCACTGAGTGCATAACGCAACATCTGGACCACCGGGGCTGCTTGGGAGTAGGATAGGAGCATCGAGCGAGTGACGGTCATCGCCCTTTGGATGTACTTAAACTTTTGGAACTCAGAGAGGATTTGTACCAGCCTGGTTAGCACCAGGACTTCTTTTCTCCTGCACACATATACACACCTCTTCCACCACAAAACCCTGCTTGAATGACGACTACCTTGTCTGGACCACACTTTTACTTGAACATTAAAGGGGGGGGGGGGCATCAAAGATACAATATAACAAACCTATTTACAATGACCAATCCCACTGAACTCTATATGGATGTCAAAAGTCCAACAGGAAAAAAAAACTTTAAAAAAAAAAAACAATAGTGGATTGCCGTAGGAGATCTTTCTGTGAGACCACTTGAGGTTTTTGGACAAGTGACTTTTGAAGATCCATTTCTAAGACTTGAAACAAGGAGGTACAAGTTCTCGGAGAACTAAAATATGTGACATATTCAGGACACAAAATGGCTCAGACTTGGGATGGCCATCGTCAGCGCGGAGTGCCTGCTCGTTTCCAGGGGATACCGTTGCCGAGGAGAGCCATAGCAACGGGATTCCAGGGAGTCTTATCTGTCATTCCTTAGTTGTTTTAGGGACCAAAAGACCAAACATTTTTATTGCTGAGGACTTGTAGCGCTAATATACTCGGACCACCGCATCTCCTGCAGTCAGTGTAAACTGCTCGGAGAGTTGCACTTAAAAACAAATGTACATTTCGAATATATACAAAACGTGTACATATACATATATATTGCTGATATGCTTTTTTTGGAATACGGGCAAAACTATTTCAGACGACCAAAAAAGGGTCATTCACTTCTCTAGTTTACAATTACTTAAAAATGTTTATTCTTTTCATTTTGTCTCGGGAGGGACGGCGCGTGCATGGGAGGGGCTGCTCCGTATCACAGCCTTATCTTTTTTAAATTGACATCTTAACCTCATAGATAGAATAACATCAGAAACGTTTGAATATATGAACTTGTTTATATTTGCAGTACAGATATATGTATAACAAGCATTGAAGCAAATGTATTCATATATACAGCATATATGGATAAAGCTATTAATCACAAATATATGTATTTATATGCACATATTTTATATATGTGTGTCTGTATATAGAACGCCTACTGACTACATTGAGATGTAATTTTTTTGTAGATTTTAGCAGGAGTTTGAAGCATTGCTCTGCTTGGGAAGAATCGCAAATCTGGCAGCTCCCAAAACTGCAGGCATTCCTATCTCTGATTACCTAGATGCTGACTCAAAATAATATGTTTCTGAGTAATAAGAGCAAATGCAAAAAGCCACATCTCAGTAGCAGGCTTTAAGAGAATCAGGCTTAATGATTTTAGATGGAGAGAAACAAAAAAAAAAAGGACAATTATCTTGGACTTTTTTCCAGAAACGTATTATTTAAGCTTACACACACACACACACAAACTTCTCTTTGAAACTTGAACCAAAATGAAAACATCTCACGACCCCTTTCTCTCTCTTTTGCATTCGGTAAAGTGCATGTAGCGTATGGGCTGTCACCGTGTAAAGGTGTGCCTTGTCACCTGCAGAGTCTGCCATCCAGCACTGTGCTCCCAGAAAACAGACAAAGAAGCAAAGAAATAAAATAAAAAAATTTAAAAAACTGAACACAAGCAAGCAGCCAATGCGCTTTTTATGATGTCAAAAACCAGAGCCAGATCCATATCAGCCACATAGAGCGTTTCGGTGCATGTCAAATATAACAAATCGTGCAATCACTGTCAGTCCACAGCCGTCTTAAAAAAAATACTGCATTTAGAACTAAAGTTGACACATGCGCTTACACTTCATACAAAAGCGGGCATTAAGTAACCTGTTCGCGCAGGTGCTAACTATCAAAGCTGTGTGCAGAGCGCCTGTGACTCCTGTCCACTGGTTGCAGGAAAGACACAGAGTCTAGGTTTGAGTCGCAGCTGGTCCACCGAGGCTGAACGAGAGATGAGCCTGAACCTCCTGGACTGAGCAGCATCATTTAAATGGTTATGACAGTGGTGCAGTGGCTGTGAAGATGTTGGAGAGCTAGCTTCCCACAGAACAGAAAAAGATGAAAGGTTTTATGAACAGACTGGCACACTGAAGCAATAGTTCAGATCTTTTGAAGTGGGCTTCTATGGATACGTTATAAACAAATTACCAAATCTTAATAAATAGTATCACATTAACATTGACTGGCTCAACGAGCTAATGGCTACTCTAAGCAGAGCAAAGTCCAAGGCGGATCGTTGCCATTTTAAAACTACTCCAGACTCAACTATTTTGTAGTGGTTCGTGTGAATGCTGTTTTATGAACGCTCAGATTTATATACACGTCATTTACAAAGAATTTTATGGTTATTTGCGAGAGCAAACAGCAGCAGCTGTTAGCTGTAGCACTTATGATGCAGTCTGATGCACTTCTAGTAGGAATTAGAGCCCAACTGATGTATCGGTAGGGTCGATACAGGTGTTTGGGGACATATCAGTATCTGTGATAATTGCTCATTATGCGCCGATATAAACACTTCTGATTTTCACCTCTAAAATGCTGGGAACAAGCCATGTCCTTACTTGCAAATGGTGTAATTCTACAATGTATCCAGCAGAGGGCGCATGATGACTACTTTCAAGTCATGGCCACTCACATTGCAGCCGAAGCAGGGAGCGACTAAAATACAGCGTAGCGTATTTTGCTGAACAGAAGTTTATTGTAACTGATTTATAAAATAAAAATTTTTAAAAATCAACAATAATAAATTCTCTTCAATCCTCCAACCCGCCTGTCAGTAGCTAAAGACCTCTCAAGTTAGCAAGCTAACATTTAGGTAACCTAGCATCGGCTGTTGCCTTGTAAAACGTTATCCAGAACAATAAATCTAACATAGAGGTAAATATATATCAGTGTTAGTAACCAGTGGTGTAGTCTACATTTTTGTAGTGGGTATACCACGGTAAAGTTACCGGTAGTTTTACATTGGACACCGTTGAAGCCACAGAGCGCGAATGTCCACCGTCCAATGTAAAACTAACTTGACTGGTCCGTATACTGTGATTGGAAACCAAAGAACACTGGTTGGTACAACGTAATCATCAATTTATTTTTGATTTTTAAGCATATTCGACATTTCCAAATATCTCTGATGCTTATATTTCAATAAATGGACAACAAAACTTTGTACAACAGTTGGCTTTGTATTAAAAACATGTTATAGAATTTATGAAACCGTATCAGAGCAAAGCATGTTAAGTAGTAAGTACAGAAGTATTAATTATACAATAATTGGCTGGATAAGCGAATGTAATAAACAAGCGCTACATGCCGACAGATTGTTACAGAAGCATTTAACGGATCAATGGCACGTACCTAATGATTACGTATCACTGGGCACTTTTAAGTGCGTGTACTGAAATTCTTAAGCTTTTCTAGTAGGTATACTCCGTATATCCGCGTATCGCGTAGACTACACCACTGTTAGTAATGTAATCTTTGCCGTCCTCAATGAAATACATCGTCTGAAATCTTTACTTCTCTGCGGAGAGGAAAAAACACTAATTAGGCTGTCAGCATACGTGACTGACTGTTGAAACAATGAACAGCGAAGGACTTTTCTTTGTTTAATTTATATTTTTATAGCGCACTTCATATTTTTATGGTGAATAGTGGCGGATAGAAAATGTGAACGTACTTTAGGAAGACCGTTTCATGGATTAATAGTAGCGGTTTACGTAGATTCTTGGGGGTAGACAAAGCTCAAAGATTTTCAGCCAATATATCGGTTATCGGCATTAGCTTCCCCCTCCCAATATCGGCAATAGCCAAAATTTCCATACCGGTTGGGCTCCAGTAGGAATATCACCATATATCTGCCAGAATAAGAGCGTAGATATAAAACAAATTGTGGTGTAAAGGTTTATATAACAATGCTCACAAGAAACACTACAAAATGCTTGAAACGGGACTTGTTTTAAGACGAAGCCCACTTTGATTTAGGTACGACTCACCTCTTCCACCCTGTCAGAATGGAACCATTTCTCCAAACTAAGGATGTCCAAAGAACTAGCTAGCTATCACTCGTAACCTTCCCACAGAACCCCACTTCAAAACACCCGAGCCATTGAGTGTGGATCTCGCTTGACACGAAGCATACACTTTAAAAGACGTTAAATTGTGTTATGCAATCAAACGTGAGCTTGACATTACAACAGATCTGTCAAATGAAGCAATAATTGTTAAATGCCATTTACTAACTCCAACTGCTGCATCACCAAGGCTGGCTTTGTATTGCTTTAGCGTGCAGTTTCATAGAACAGCCTACAAAAGTGGTATGAACACCTACTATGCACCTGCAAAAGGTCACCACAGATTTATTGGACACTGCACATACTGAGCTGATGGGGAATTCTTAATGAATATTTATATATATGAATATTTATAAGGCTATATGACACTTTTGGAGACAATGCTTCCTGTTCGGTGAAGGTATACGTTTTCCTATAAACTGCTCATTATGCCCTTTCCCCAGCATCTGTGTCTAACCTTTTTTCCACGGTTTGAATTATTTAACATTTATTCTAAATCCAGCCAGACTTAAAAATGCACACACACTAAACATCCCAGAATGCCCCTTTCTAAGTTCTGAGTAGGGCATTTGGTGCCAGCCAGATGACCAATATGATCAGTCTTATTACGACATTATAATTTACAGAATGGACCTCAAGTTTACGCGAGTCATCAAATTCACCCGATAAGTTAAATGTCACATTTCTGTGTGCCCCTGTTCAAAAACCATTGCTCTGAGACGAGATTGATAAAAAATAAAAAGTGTAGACACAGCTCGTTTTCCTTAAATTTGTTCATAACTCCATGCTTTCATGTTGTGGGAAACACCGGGAGGCAAAAGGACAGAGTGAACCAGACGTTACACGTTCATTAAAGCTGCAAGTTTACATGGGAACGCTAAAAACTAAACAAGTGGTTCAAAACCTACAAGAGACGGAGCAGAAGTTTGAATATAAATATCTATATATATATATATATAAATATATACATAAACTGATGAATATAATGTAAATTAATTGTTTGGGTTATTTTTGCTCTTTTTCTCTGTACATAGGTTTGCATATTTTATAGGACTTTTACTTCTACGTACAAGGACTGGATAAAATACTTTCAAAAAAATCTATATAAATATAATATATATATATATATATATATATGAATGAAAACATAATGCTCATTAAAACCAGGTACAAAAAAAAAAAAATCAGTCACTAGGATACGGTACAAACTGTAGGACGACCAAGGCATTTATCCAGAATACAGTCAGGGAGAGCATCGACCTCAGTTAGAGCTTACACACATCCACCTGTTTTATAAAGAAAATACAACTAAAAAAACTGCTTAGGTGGGTTCTATCCATTTCTTTGTTTAGATTAGTTGTTTAGAAGTCATGTTTGAGATGAAATGCATGCTTTCACAGCATTATTTTTCTATGAGTTGGTACGTGACCAAATCGTTTTTATATGACATGCACGGGCCGCTGCAGTGGTCCACAGATGATCATCGATCCTGTCTGAGGGGATCACACCTTCAGCACTCCTTTGGTGATGGAGATTTTAAAAAAAAACAAAAAAAACAATAACCTCCTAATGACCAAGTGATGTCAGAGTCAGACTTTAATCATTTATTTATCTATTTATTTATTTATTGTATTTATTTGTGCTGTTTGATCCAAGATCCGAGCTCTATAAATGCCACCGCTCTGCACACGTCTGAGTGCTACTTTACATGACATCGTAGCCAGTTAGGTAATCGAGTGAGCTCCTTCAAAGACTGGTTTTAGCTTTTCTTGTCACTAGTAAATGATTCACACCAATGCAGTACAACACACGAGCCTTATGCATACTGTAATTATAGCGTAATACTGTACAAGAAAGAAAAAAAAAAAAGGTTGTTTGTTGAAAAGATGCCAAAACTGGTCATTTTTCTGTTTTATGAACCATTTCTTTTCGTTCTAAAATGTTTAAACATTGTAGAGATTAAAAAAAGAAGAAAAGACTAAACTGTACATCTTCAACCAGATGTTAAATCAGAGGAACACACATCTGTTGTACCCTGTATGTAATCAGAAATCCACTGGACTTTTGTTGATCGTCGATTCCTATGGCATAAAAACGCTTTTCGCCTTTAAAACTACGTTAAAATGTTTGACAGAGCTCTGATCTTGTTCAACCGATGTATTCTGCCAAGAAGAAAATTCAATGAAGACTGCACTATTTCACTTAAAGAAGAAGACAACGAGTCTGAGTTCCTTTTATTTTTCTTCTGTGCTGTTATCAGTCTTTTGTTTCTAAAAGCTCCGTAGTGTTGCTAGAATCACATCTTTCCATCGTGTGGTTTTCAAAGTGTTCTGGAAATCTACTGCATTTCCCAGTTTCAGCACAGATGGAAAGTTGGGGAAATGAATGTTGCATATTAAGCTTTGCCAGGTTCCTAATGAGCTGAGCTTCTGACTGGGCCGTGCGCTTTTAGGCCTCTGCCCCGTTTCTCCAGACTGCACCGTTCTCTGGTCCCCTGGACTCCTTTTTTGTAATTTTAAATGAATGATGCGTCCCAGCTTAGCCCAATAATAAAGCACAGTCTAGAATAAAGTGTTCTGTGTTGTGTCGTAACTGCTGATCGATGCAAGAATACTCAGCCTCCGTTTTGATGTTTCTATAAGAAATACAGCAGAAGGGTTCTGTGACACAACCTGGCTTCTTTGTTGAATTTTCCCGAGGTTGTATGATTTATGCAGAAGACATCCGAGTCGGATTGAGAACGGACAATTGTAAGTCATGAGATTCAGTTTGCATTTACATCGCCAAGGTCTTCAGAGACAACAAACACAGCTCTGAGTTACAAGTTTTCCCGAGGCAAAGCACGATTTAATTTAAAAAAAGAGCAAATTCTACATAGAAAAAAGCATTTACTGGTGTTTGTATAGTAAAAAAAAATCATCATAATAGCCCATATAACAGCAGTACAATTTACAAGATTGCATTTGAGTGCAAACTAAGAAAAATAAAATCCCAATTTGTCAAAATTAAGTTACTTTATTTTCTTGCTCCTTATCTTCCTCCTTGTTAATAAATAAAGAATATATCTTCCAGTATTTGGCTTTCTTCCAGGTCCTGTTGAAAACCTGGAGGGTAATTTCCACTGGGGAAGAGCAGAGTTCTTCCTGCTGGTGTGGGAGCGAGGAGGGTCGATTTGTGCGTCGACGGCTTGGGTCTTCGAGCCCCCGGCTTGCACTGCTCGGGGGCAGAGATGGGACTAAAGATGTCCAGTAACTCAACCACAGAAAGGTCCAGCCTGAAAAAAAAATAACACACTTGTTTCGTGTCGTCTCGATTCAGTCACAGGTGACCTGAACTAAACGGGCTTCTCTTGAAAACGAGCTAAAAAGGTTAAACTAAATTAAATAAAAGGCTTGTTCCAAAGGTTTCAAACTGGCACACACTTTGTTTCTAACCCTGTGAACCGTGACCGAGAGGCTATTCTGTAAATGAGCAACCTTGTACTGGTTTTTTTTTAATGTAGCAAAGAAACAAAAATGCTTCCAGTTACACAACTCCTTAAAACCAGGCAGAGACGATGCAAGCCGAGAGACCAACACCTGACATAAGGATAAGTCCACTCTAAGCTCAGATATTTGTCATTCGCCTTTCTCTCGTTAATACAGACAATATAAGAGCAAAACTCCTTCCCAAGCACTAACAAAATCTTTCTTGCTGAAGTGGCGAGCAGCATTAACAAGTCAAAACCAGTGGGGCGTCCCCACAGCAAAGCACAGTTTCTGTGCAGGTGTGTGAACATACGGAGGAGAGGACCTGGCGCTCTCTTCCCTGGAATAGAAATGAGGGAGTGCGCAGTGAAATAAATAAACCAAAACGGGGGAGATTAGGCTAATAGAGATTCAATCCCTCAGTCTGGCTGGCTTGATAAATTATTCAGTGTATACACAGTCGAACGACGGCCATTCCAGATACAAAACATGAATTCTTTAAAGCACGCTCGACTGATCTTGCCAACATAATTCTCTGCTCGTTTAAAGTTGCATTGATTTGCATCGTGCGGCTGTGCACACAGCTCTCCCAGGTAGAGGCGGTCTTCGGGATGCACTTGTTGATATGCATGTGGGTGGTCAGCAGACAGGCAGGCGGGTGAAACTTCTAATCAGTGGGCATTTGTGTTCCTCCACACGTACCACCAGACCTTGATATGTCACGCTTTTCAGTCGAACTTGGAGGCAGCACGCATCGGTCGCTGAAAAGCTTTAAGAGGCTATGTTTTATGAGCAAATGTACGCACATGATTGAGCATGAGGGAGAGGAAAGTGAATGAGGGATGATAAAGAAACAGCCTCAAGCTTAAAATAATAAAAATTTTAAAAATATCGGTCCTCATTTGGTCTGCTCGGTCAATAAAAAGGAATAAATAAATAAATATACAAACGAAAGAGTGACTGTTGGGTGTCCGCTTGTATGAGAGAGGCAGGAAATGAGTTCTGCTTTTTGGATCGAAAGGCGGGCGGAGAGGGAACGTGGGGGAGGAACTTTGGACGGGATGCTTCGCTCGAAATGTGAGAATTTGCATTTTTATTTGTTGATTTATTTAATGGACAGGCCGCTCAAACAGCCATCCATCAACAGGCGACATGTCTGTAATGAATAATGCATCACTTACCGGCGGTCACAATCTATAACAGGGATGGGGGGGTTGTGTGTGTGTGTGTGTGTGGTGGTGGGGTACAGTTTGGGCAGGAATGTGGGAAATGGTGGTGGAGGAGACATGAGTGGAGGCACAAACATAACAAGAGGAATGGAATAAAAACTGATTTTCAGAACAGAGTTCAGCACCACAAAGATATCTGAAAAATATTGAAAAGTTTATCGTAAAGTTGTGTAAATGTACATATTTCCTAAATTTACATACATCTCTTCGTTTTTTTTTTTGTCTTTGTCTCTCATTTCCAGCAACCACCACCTTTCCATCCCTCATAATGCTCACTGCTTATCTGGCTCCTCGCTTTCATTAAAGATGGCCGTCTCGCCCCGATGCCCCTTTTCATTCGCAGTCCAAACAGTAAAATAAAAAACCTATAATGGCCCCCGCGTATATCCCGCATGACAATTTCCAAACCGATCGATAGCAGGCGGGCGATGGCAGAATAATGGAGATGAGATGGGCAGGGTGTGCTGGAAATGTCTCATTACCAACTAGCACAAATGCATGAAAGGATTAAGAAGGTCACTTAAAGTTAACACCCATTCTGGTTTGGCAATTTGCGCATCAAGACTTTAATAGTTACGATTAGACGGCCATCAGGGGGACGTTGTTGCCCTGCGGGGGGAAAAGCTAAGCTAATACAAAACTCTTACAGGAGGGTCCACGTCTCATACAACAGAAAGTGTTTTCATTTGATTGTACTCTAATCTGCACTTTGGATCTTTGTTAACAACTCAATCCAAAAAAGTTGGGCCACTGCCTGAAATGAACAGAATCTAGCAATTTGTTAATCTCACAACACCGTATTATATTCACATTAACATAGTAAAAATATAAAATGTTTAAACTAAGAAAGCGTTTTCTGAAAAGACTGTTTTTTTTTATTTTAATAGCAGCAACATCTCAAAACAACAACAGGAAGTGGTACAAAAAAGAACAGCTAGAGGAAGTCCTAATGCATGCTCAATAATCCTAAATAAGCTAAATTAAATTCAATAAACAGCTAGAAAAGCATTTTGAAACTAACTAGGCTCGTTGGCAACAGGTCAGTAAAAAGACTCGACATAAAAAGGGCATTTAGACAGGATGAATGTCTTCAAAGACGAGCAGAGGTTCATGTCTGCAAAAAGTGTGGATCAATTTCAGAACAATGTTCCTAAATTAAATTTGAGACTGCTTTGAATATCCTATCTCGTATGCATTTAAAATATCAACAAAACATTGCACACGATGATTTCTAAAGATTTTTGAAAAAATTCAAATCAATAATTTTGTTGGCTGCCCCTGACCCCAAATCCCTCAGGCAGCTCTGCATTAAAAACAGGTTTCATTCGGTTCTGGTTTGGTTCTGGTTTGGTTCTGGTTTGGTTCTGGTTTGGTTCTGGACGTCACTGCTCGAGCTCAGGAACACGTTCACACTTCCTTGTCTATGAACGCAGTTTGCTGTTCAATCTGCCAATGCCGGTTAAAGCTCTATCATGCAAAATACAAGCCATTTGTAAACGCCATCTAGAAACGCTGCAGTCTTCTCTGGACCAAAGCTCATGTGACATGGACAGATGAAAAACTGCTCTGTGGTCAAAGGAATTGAAACTTCAAAATTAAAATTAAAATACTTTTTTAATTCCAAAAAGAAATTAAGTCAATCGAAATTCGTTCACAAAACCATAAATACCACATCCTTTCTACTAAAGAAGAGAGGGGACATCAAGACTGTAATATATTCACGGTTCAACAGCCTGCTTCTCTTATGGTATGGGGATGCATTAGTGCAATGGCATGGGCATCTTACATTTCAGCATGACTGCATCCATTATAACAGCAGGTCTTCATAGTAAAGGACTGGGTGCTGAACTGTGCTGCCTGCAGGCCATACCTCTCACATTAGTAAAAACATTTGAGGCATGAAACAAAACATTCAGCTGTTAAACAGCTAAAATCCTACGTTCACCTCCAACTCCAGCAGCTCCTCCACGTTTACAGACTGTTGTTAAAAGAAGAGGACACGCTTCACAGTGGTGAACATGCTGCTCTCCCCCTTTTATTTTTGCATATAATGGTATATATTAATTAATTACCATACTTTTTTCTAAAAAAAACTGCACATTTCTCAGTTTAACCATTTGATATGTTTATTGTGTTCCCTTGTGAATATAAATGAATTCATGAGATTTGCACATCCTTGCATTCTGTTTCCATTTACATTTCACACAACATCCTAGTCTTCATCATCAACAATAGTTAAAAAAAAAAAAAAAAGTTTTTTGTTTAAAAAATAACAGGGCAAGAGAGGGGTCGACCTAATTTGCAAACATATTACTGGCATGTAGCTTATATCTAAGATTTATTGAATATTTTGCAACATTGACATTCAAAGTTGCATATACCGATATTGAAATGTTGACTGCACAGCCATTATTTATCTTATGGAAATGTATTTTTATTATAGTTTTTTATGACACGTTGGATTTTTATTTTTATCAAAATATTACAGAGTAGCAGTGACTTTAAAAAAAAAAAAAAGGAAACCAAAAAAACCTACATCTTCCCACACATTAATACTTTTAAAATAATGCTTTACTTCACTAACTACTATTTTTTGTACTTAAGAAAAAGATAACTATCAGTACACAGCAACTAAATAAATGAGGTTTTCTTGTTCCACTTTGCTGCATAAGGTCCAGTTACTTTAATGGTTTTGCAGGTGAAAATGGATGGTAATGGGATCGGATAGCTTTGGTCCCCAGTTAAAGTTAATGGGCATCTGCAACAGTTTACATCTTGAACTTGGACCACGCGGTGCTTTTATTAAGAGCTAACGATTGCAAGAAGTAAACTTGGAGCTGTTTTGAGGAACTGTTTTTTTAAAGGGAGTGGAAAACATCTATAGATTATAAATAAACCACCACGCTTAAAATGGTAGAAAAAATGACAAATCATACAAAAACAACAATATTTTTTGTACAAAAAACTGGAATAGGTTTTCAGCCTCTGATAATCAGGAGTCCACAGCAAACTAAGAAGTTCCTACATAATGGACGTCAAGTGTCCAAGTAGCACAGTGAGAAGAGACGCAGTGAGGTTAATTACCGTTTAGTGACTAAAGCCTGATGCTCCCCACCTCTTAGAGCTTTCTCGCCATTTCAGTTGTTCTCCATCTGGACATAATCTATCTTTCCTCACTTCCTGTTTTTCAAGCTTTCCTCCCCCCCTCCAACGCACTTACACTGAAACACACTTTTAACATCTCTCCCTCACTTTCGCTTGCTCTGTCATTACTGCAGCGGAGCGAAGAGGGAGGGCAGCGTGTGCATCGAAGTCTGTTCAATTACACCTGCTGCAGGATCCCTGCTAGGCCGGCTAATGGAACGCAGCGTGTCTCCTGACAGGCTGGCCACAACCCTAGCTAGCCCAGTAAAAAGCTCCATTTAGCTTCTCACAGCTCAAAAAGTTAGCCACACGAGCAAAAGTTATCATTCACTGCAGCTGTTGTAGACCAAGCAAAAGCTGTAAGATCCTAAATTCATATTTGTATTCTCTATGCGTTTCTAAGTTGATGTTTCCAAAGAACAAAAAAAAAAACTGCCTCGAGGCGTCACAAACAAATCATAAAATATTGTTAATTACGTCCCCTGTGGGGTTTTTCCTTCCTCTCTTTCAGCACCTTTGGAGCCGCACATTTCTGATCTGTGGTGTGCAGCCCAACAAAACCACATTCAAATGTGTTTTCATTTGTCACAGTTTTCATTTTCTGTTAGGCAAAATGCTTTGTATTTTAAAAAGGACACACATTAGTTGTAAATATTTGTCTGATGAGAAAAAGATTTGATTTTGCTCCAACTACCTGAAGAAATGTGTTATGAAGCAGCGTGTTAGTGTAACTGGACTGAAGCCTTTGAAGATACTTACATTGTGCACGTTTCTGTTGCAGCACAGGAGGTAGAGTTCCAAGCCAACACAGATATTTATCTTTTTATACCTCCTTGAGGTGCTCAAATGTGCTGCTGCTCAAGAAGAACCTTTTAAAGCAGTATTTTAAGAAACTGGTTTTTCTGAGGAATAATGTTACCGAACCTGTTTACTACAGTCTTACTTTCTATTTTACACTTCAAAGTGTAGAAAACTAACTTGTTTTGCATTAGCAAAATAACTCAAATGTTTACGTTGAGTGCATATTTTCTTACTTGGTCTCGGGGGTCTTTGGGGCTGCAGACACAGAGGTGGGCACACACAGGCCTGAAGGGGGCTTTACTGGGGATGTGGCCATGTCCCTTCTGGACTGTTCGGATGGATTTGCTGTGTACAAATAAGATCATAGTTACACCAACAGCAATTCAGTTCAGTTTATTTCTATAGCTCCGAGTCACAACAGAAGTCGTCTCAGGGCACTGAACAGAAACATTCATTTATAAAAATAATAATTTAACATCATTTATCTGAGGAGCAGACTGCTTTGAGTTTAACTCCATCACAGACTCTCATCTTGAGCAAGCATGAAGGCGACGGTGGGAAGAAAAAACTCCCTCATGAGGAAGAAACCTTTAGCAGAATCAGGCTCAGGACAAGCGGACATCTGCTTCGACCGGCTGGGTTTGAGAGGAACAGGAAGAAGGAACAGATACACAATGGCAGGTCGACAGTCACATGTTGATAGAAATAATATCAAATTATGCATTTGTAACAATTCATTTTAAGAAATGGGGTCAATTTGTCCTCTAGTCGTCTAAGCTTAAGGCAGTATAACAAGCCAACCCTAACTATAGGATTTATCAAAAAGAAAAGTCTTAAAACTGGACAATGTGTCAGCCTCACGGACAGAAACTGGAAGTTGGGTCCACAAGAGAGGAGCCTGAGAACTGAAAGATCTTCCTCCCATTCTGCTCTTGGAAACTCTAGGAACCCCAAGTAAGCCTGCAGTTTGAGAGTGAAGAGCTCTGTTAGGAAAATATGGAACTATAAGATCTCTAATATAAGATGGAGCTAGGTTGTTGAGGGCTTTGTACGTTAGAAGTAAGATTTTGAATTATATTCTGGATTTGACAGGGAGCCACTGGAGAGAAGCTAAAACTGGAGCGATGTGATCTCTCCCAGTAACTCCAGTTAAGACTCTGGCAGCAGCATTTTGGATCAACTGAAGACTTTTTAAAGAAGTTAACCTTCTTATGAGAATAATAGTTTTATGAAGCACACCCAGTTGTAGGTGAAAATTTAATTAGAAAAAAAAATAAACCTACAGAAATTTTTACTTCTGCCAAACAGAAATATAAAAAATACTGACAGAAAAATAGTCTGTGTCAAATCAAGCAAATAACAAGGTAGCTGAAAATAACCCAAGCTTACTGTTTCTACTGGAGGAAGGGTCTGGGACGAGCCGAGTGTTTGTTTTACTCAAGTTTTGTGCTGCAGAATGTGCTTCCGCTTCTTCAGACAGACTGCAAACCAAAGACAAATACACAGAGCTAGCTTGTCCTGGATATAAGAACATTCTTTGAGTGTGTTTACTGGATGTTCAGGGTGCGTGTCTGATTAAAGCTGTTGCTTTACTTACCTGGAGGGCAAATCCTGGTGGGACGAATCCTCCCGCTCTGGCCCTGCATCCCTGGTATTTGAGCTGAGCTGAGCTTCAGTGGATTGTTGAATCCTTGCACACGAAAAGGAGTAAAAACAGCCACAGATATTTTAGATGCACACAAAGGGCAACTGATCGCAGCTTTTTGACGATGCTAAATGATTTTCTATCCATTTCGTCCTAACGTTTGTTAGAGATGCTCCTACATGCGGGTCGTTTCTCGTTGGGTTTGTGTTTTACCTGCTGTAATCAAGCTGTGACTGTCGTAGCTGCTCTGTCTGTCTGTGGAGCTTCTCCTCCTGCTCAGCCAGCCGTGCTTGCAGTCGCTCTCTTTCGGTCTCGAGCTGCATCTTCTGCAGCAGCAGCTGGTGTCTCTTTTCCTCCCAATCCTTGTGACCCAGCAGAGGCCTGGTCAGGTCTTCCTTACCCTCTGAGCTCCTGTTTCTCCTGTGCAGTTTAAATGTATATAAAAATTCAGTATTTATATCCATGTTCGGGATATTTCTTGTATGCATCTTAGAAAGCAAACAAATACTATTCTACCTTTCACATTCCTCCTGGCTAGAGGTGTCATGCTGGCAGTTTACTAGACGGGAGCTGCTGTCACTTCTCCGTTGCTGTGCTTTGCAGCCAGCGTCATGACAGCTGCCGTGGCAGCGCTCACATGTGCGGCGTGTGTGGGGCTGCCTAAACTCCCTTTCCTGACACGCATGTCTGAACGTCTTGTCGTTTGAACTTAACTCACAATCGCAGGGAACGGAGGTGGGGTTTCTGAACATTTCTACTTCTCTTCTTGCATTGCCACTCCTGTACACTTGAGCCGGTTGTGCTTTGGGAGCAGCGAGGCTGAGGTACGAGCCATCCAGGAGTGATCCATTAGCACTGCTTGCAGATGTCCTGCTGGGAGCTTCCTCACTACTGCGCACCTGAACAGGAAAACAACGGCAAAGTGATTTCTATTTGGCTGGTTTAAAAAGCTCTCTGAAGGTGTTATGGGAGTTTTTCAGCCAAAACAGACCGGTCCATAAAACTTTAATTTACAGCTAGGCAACAAAACTGAAATTTACTAATACCACATTAAGACTTGCTTACCAAACTAATTTACTAATGTTGCAATGTGCCATAAAAGCTCCCCATTTGTTCACAACAGCCGTTGTTTCCAAGTGCTGCCAAAGTACAGGTTGTAGAAACGGCAGTACCTGGACACATCGTGTGTAGACACGGACACGTGTGGAAGCTGCTGCCAAAATGAGCTGCTCTGTAGGGCTGAGCTTTACAGTGGCACATACCAAACAAAACTGCTATATAACCCATGCCAGAAGAACTAAGAGGATATCTTTTGGTTGAGGATAAATGCTAATTATGTCAGGACCAGGAAAACCATTAAATAAGGATAAAGTGTTAAAAACATCTTAGTTTTAAATGAAAAAGAGGAGCAGAGAGCAGGCAAATACGGTTTATTCAGAGCCACTGCACGACAGTGAGGTTGTCCAAGGTGTTTATACCCTCAATGGCCAAAGTCAGAGTTTCATCTTTGCTTCTGAAGTGTCACCGTACGAGTTTTCTTCATGTTCTTGTCATAAAAAACAAGGAATGAAGTGGTCTTCAATGATTTCTTCTGATTTATTATGACCTGGGGCAACGTGCTGTAGCGTGGGCTTCCTTTAGACCATGTTTGTGCCAGAGATAGTGATAAATGTCAAACAGGGCTGCTCTTTAAATGCGCCCCGACCTTCAGTTTTATTTTAGTTTTCAAAGTGCGTGATCCAATAACAGGAAAGCACACAAACCTTCCACGTCTTACCTTACTGTAGGTCGGTGGCTGGCTGAGCTGGGAAATGGACTGATTGAGCTTCGCCTGTTGTTGAGTAAGATATTGTTGGTAGAGCGCGAGCAGCTCCTGACACTCTCTGTACTGTCGCTGCAGACCTGAAGGACCAAAGGTTAAGTATCTAACAACACGAGACCAAAACTGACCTTAAATGAACTCTCAGAAACATCCTCCCAACATTTAGCCAAGAAATACAGTAAAAGACTCAGAGTTCCATAAAAAGGAAGATGGCAGATTTATGGTGAAACGATGTTTATCTTTAATAAACTATTAGAAATTAAAGGCCTAGCGTTCCTTGTAGGAATGGGTCAGCCTGAAGTACCATCAATTTTAGCAGAATATTTGTAAATTTGACTAAATTAAAGCTATTTTATGCGTTTAAGTTTAGATGGCTGGGGCAAAAAAAAAAAAATTAATTGGTTTATTGTGTTGGCTCCAAAACGTAATCAGTTGTAAAAGTGCATTTGACAAATACTGTCTGAAAGTTTCATTCATTTGTCCAGACATGGGCACAATATTGCCCGCCTTCACCTTTCATCCCCCAGCAAAAATAAAGACAAAAGTACGCAGACTCTCACTGTGAAATCACTGTGTAGCACTGCTGAAAACTTTTTTTTTTTGTGCAAAAACCATACAAAAGCCCTTTAAACAATCTGAATTAAAACCTTCTTTTACCAATTGCATACCAGAAAAGCGGACAGCGGCGCTTCTACTAAAGGAAAGAAGAGTCCAGCTAAATCAAAGTTGTTGTTGTGGCATGTCGCGTTCACCATCTGGGTTGAGCCAAGCTGGGTTTGAGCAGAGCTGGGCTGTGCCACGCCAGGCTATCTGCCAGACAGAGAGCTGGCAGCCACAGAAAAACTAATCTGGAGCGGGACTACTGCTGCGCCTCAGGAGCCCACTAATGACGGTGGCAGCGCCGCACCACATCGACACATACAAAGATAATGAGCACGAGAACGGAGAGGCTGCACACAGACACACAAGCACACATTCAATAATCAAGCCTGACTTCCTGACGCACACACAAAAACAGCAAGACCCGACAGTGCAAATCCCCCACATGCACTGTAAACAGCCCACACACAAACACAACAATAAAGCAAGAAGTGTACAAAGCAAGTTGTACACACTCCCCCCCCCAAGCTGACCATAAAGTGTATTCCTCCAGGCCATATCTTTTTACGACAGTGGCCGTGCTCCCCCATCTGATGAGTTTCTCAGCATCCATTTGTGGAAAGCTCCCATTTAAAGAGAAAATCAAAGTTCAAAGTAAGAGTCTTATTGAAGAAATAGTTGGTGGAACGCCGAATAAGAAAACACTTTGCTTGTAGGAAGACTTCAATCAGGCTGTGGAAATGAAACGGAGGGGGGGCGGGGAGAAGAAAGCGAGGACGACTTTGAATGGAGGAGCAGACGCCAGACAAATGCGATGCAGCAGCTTCCATAAACACAAGGAAAATGTGAGCGAGCACTTTGATTAAAGCCGTCGTCTAACGCGAGCTCCTCGACGCCGGCGCTGATCTCCATGAAAGCGGCGCTGTGTGGAAAACTTGAGGACATCACAAGGACATCACATCTTGGAAACCTGCACTGGGGAGGTGTGTTTATGCAGCATGAAGGATCTTAAATGGGAGCGAGATGGAATACGCTGCTAAGGTCACACCTCACCCAAATCCAAGATAGAATGTGATGTGTTAAATTGAACCAAAAAAAAAAAAAGTCAATAAAACAAAACGCAGGCAAGTTTATTGTACCGTATTCACAGAAAGACTGGTTCTAACATGTTTCAATCTAAGACATAGTTGAGGAAACCTCATACTAATGTGATACAATAAAAAAAGACTAATATGTATGCACAATCTCACGTGACTGGTTAGCACTTGGGGTATGTGTCAGCTACTACCACACCATATTTTAGCTCCGTGCCTGTAAAAGTTACTGAAGTATACATACTTGTTTACACCGAGGTCAATAAGCCAATTAATAGCCAACATTTACTGAGGGACAGTTTATGTTTTAAGCAAAGCTGTCACTCCAAGTAAAGTTAAATGGAATGATGCTCAGCTACTACCATACCATTTTTAAACGCTGTATTTCTATTTAAAAAAGTATGGAGTATACCCATAAGAAAAGCCTGGGAATTTCAGTATACCCACTTAAAAGTGTCCAATGATACATGACAAATTATTGGGCTTGTGCACATTTGGAACATTTTATAGACTCAATGAGTTGGTTAAACCTATTTTGTGTATAATTAATACTTCTGTACGTACTACATAATACTTGAACATGTTTTGTTTTGATACTGTTTTATGAATTCTATAACATGCTTTTAATACGAAGCCAACTGCTGAACAAAATCTGTTGTTCGTTTATTCAAATATAAGCATCAGATAAATTTTGAAACGTTCAATATGCTTAAAAAATCAAAATAAATCGACTTGGTGTACTTCGGTTTCTACGCACAGTATACCCACTAGCAACATGTAGACTACACCACTGGTTAAAATCAACTCGCACAGCGGCAAAAGTGAGGAAATAAATGCGCGTTTTCAAACGAGACTTAAAAACCGTGAGAGGGGGGAGTCTGCCCGACATGGCAGTGGTAACTCATGCCACAGTTTTGGACCTGCAACAGAGCGTGCTCTGTCACCTCTGAGCTTAAAACGAGTGCCTGGAACCAGTAAAAGCATCTGGTCTGCTGACTCAGAGAGCGCAGTGGGCCATATGGCTGCAGCAGATCGGCGAGATAGGAGGGGGGCAGAACTGTTCAGAGATTTAAAAACACACAGAAGGATTTTTAAATGAATTCGAAAGCGAACCAGGAGCCAGGGAACCTTCAATAGTAACAAACTGCCTATTAACGTAATCAAAGCTGGTGCTATAAGGAGGTTTGTGAACGGATGAGCTTCCATCTCTCAGAATGTCATCACACTGAACATACTTCCTCCACAGCCTTGGGTATCATCCAGTGGGAGCACTCTGCAAACCCCCCAGTTTACATCAGAGCTACAAAGTGCCGACAATAACTTACTGCACCCCTCCTGCTCCAGAAATACCCCGAATCAAGGCTCGGAGTGAAGAGGCTTCAGACGGGGCCTGTCAAAATGATTCACTTCCCTGTCAAGCTGAGGCTCAAATGAAATAATGAAATCCATTTCAAGGTGGAACAAATTTGCACAGGAGGTGTGGAGGTATTTTAAAGTCCGCTTTAGTACCCTGAGCCAAACAGATTTGAGCATGAGCAGGAATGCAAAGGAAACAGAGGGAACAGACTGATGCATGATGAGTGCCGAGTGCATGAATGGAAGGCAGAAAAGACGAGGAGCCAACAGAGGAATAAGAACGATTTACATAACCGCTTCAATAGTACCGGTTCTGAAGAATACGGCTCGGAAAGGAGACGCGAATAAAAATCAGAAAATAAACCACTCTCGTCACATATGAGCTTAATTATCTAGAACACGCTTAGAAATTTCAAAGTCCATCCTGATAAAATTACTGTCTGCCATTTTCATGACTTATTAATCACAAGCTAAACGTAACAGTTTGGAAGCACTGACCAAGTTGTGTCTTACTGAATCATTAGGCAGGCCATCTGTACAAACAACTGGGTCTCTGTGAAATATGTTTATTACAAACCTATTAAAAAAAAAAAGACTCAAACTCACAAAGCAAAAAATGCACGATTGATAATCCACAACCTTGATTACCTCAGTGAAGGTCAACTTGATCATGCTTTAGTTATTTATTTTTTGAACAAAGAACTAGTGAGCATATAGTCTTAAAACTTGAGCTGATCGAATTATTAACAGGCCCTTCCAGAAGCTATAAAACCTACATGCACATGTCCTGCGTGAGTGCATGTAGGTTTTCAAAATATGTCTGAACCATTGGAAGAGTTGTAAAGAAACTTTCAGAGCAGTCTTTAAATACGTGATTACAATTTGGACTCTGCCCAATTCAAGATAGCTCCTGATTGTGGGAGTAGCCATGACTTAGTAAATGTTAAAAAAATTGGCCTAAAATTTATTATGGTAGTAGCAGAGCCTCATTCCCAACACATGATCCGAGCGCTAATAGATTTAGCAAGATTGTCGTTTAAAACTTTGCCCATAACTGTTTGGAAAGGTGACGGGTGATATGCATTTTCAAGAAATGCTGAACCTATAACTTCATATTAGTTATTAATCATGTCGTCTAAGCTTTACATTCACTACTTATCATTTTACATACAATAGTCTTCTATTTATTTATTTTAATCCGCAAAGATTTAGGTTTTACAACTGTAGTATTTTCTATACAAGGGATTAAGTGGAATTAAGATGAGGAATGTCTCATCTACTAAAGTTTTTTGGGGACATTTTTCAAGAAAAGTAAATACAGTTTTAAGGCGAGCTATACAATCATTAGGATTGTCTATCATGTTCCCTGCCTGGATTAGTGCTGTGTGTGTGTGTGTGTGGGGGGGGGGGGGGGGGGGGGGGGCGGGCGAGTGGTCGCTCATCGAGCGTGGCCTA